TCCCTCAGCAAACTGACCTCCAAGAAACTGTCGTGTTCCCCATTGTTGCAGTAAGTCCCACAGGTCTGCAAATACAGGAGAATCATGCGGCCTGTATTTGTGAAGTTCATGAGAATAGTGCCAAGCTCTGTGAGCTCCAGGCCTCTGTCAGAGATGTTGGATACCTGAAAAGTGGCACACAATTTTGTGGGATTTTAAAAAGACATGACAAATATGGGGTATGGATGGCATTATGGTCTGGAGAAAGTTACATGCGGAGAACTTGACCCTGAGCTCCCAGAGATCCCTGGGCGAGTCATTTCTACCCTACACCACAGTGCAGAAAAATTCCCAAAGACATCACACTGAATAGTGGTGCATGGCACACTGGGATACCTACCTGTGGTGCACCACACTTTGCATTGACACAAGCACTTCTGGTCAGTCCATGCCGTGTCAACGCAAGCAGCCAGGCTAGGCATGTGCACAAGCCGTATACAAACTTTGGCAGCTGGATGCCGACATAACTTGTGTTGACCAAAGTTTGTAGCATAGACACGGCCTAACATGGTGCCTTCATAGCCAAAGCTCATATGCCCAGGTAACCGAGGGCTCAGTCCTGTGCGCTTTGGTTTCATTGGTCCAGGGTGGGTACCGGCATAGAGCCCTTGCATGTAAACAGGAAAGGTGAACGTGGAGACAAAGCAGCTCATTTAATATCAGAGACACGCACCGTTGAAACACATCATCAGCAATGCCAGCCTCAGACACTCAGCCGTCATGAATCAGGCCTGCAAACGTCATGAGACTGGTTTGAAGATCATAAGTGTTTAAAAAATAATACATTTTGTGTCAATTTTGTATTTCTTCTAGTCTCTGAGTCTTTACAGGGCACATGGGTCATGTCTTCAAGCTTTTCTCCACAATTATGAGGGCTAAAAAGTCCTTTTTTTAAAAAGTGGAGATTTCCCCCATAATCCCAGGAGGTGGGGCTTTAACACCAAACACCATGATACTCAAGATAAAAGTCACACAAGCTGGCAACCTCTGGATTTTGAGGGGAGGTAGTTACTGGTGAGGGGTAGAGTCATAGGTGCCGATTCTGTGGGTGCTCTGGGGCTGGAGCACCCACGGGGAAAAATTAGTGGGTGCTCTGCACCCACCAGCAGCCAAGCTCCCCACCCCACCCCCCTGCTTCACCTCCTCCTCCACCTCCTTCCCTAAACGTGCCGCATCCCCGCTCCTCCCTCCCAGCGCTTGTCGCCGCCAAACAGCTTTCACCCAAGCTGCCTTCCACTTTCAAATTCTCAACCAGTTCCTCCCTGTTTATCAAAAATCAAATCTAGACCAGCCTCTCCCCTAGGAGCTGTCTCCACCTTCTGAAATAAAAAATTGTCTCCAATACATTCCAATAACTTGTTGTATAATCTGTGCCCTGCTGTGTTATTTTCCCAACAGATGTCTGGGTAGTCGAAATCCCTCATCACCACCAAGTCCTGTGCTTTAGATGATTTTGTTAGTTGTTTAAAAAAAGCCTCATTCACCTCTTCTCGCTGGTTAGGTGGTCTGTTGTAGACCCCCTAGCATGGTATTACCCTTGTTTTTTATCCGCTTTTATCCTTAGCCAGAGTCTTTCAACAAGTGTCTCCTATTTCCAAGTGTATACATCTTTGATAAATAAGGCAACACCTCCTCGCTTTTTCCCTGCATGTCCTTCCTGAGCAAGTTGTACCATTCTATACTAATATTCCAGTCATGCGTATTATTCCATCAAGTCTGTGATGCCAACTAAGTCACAGTTGTGTTTATTAACTAGCATTTCTAATATACTGTGCTGGGGCTTGCTCACCACATTGGCTGCCCTGTCTCACACCATCTCTGGGTACAGAGGGGGGCAGTTGCCAAGGGGAGGGCCCCGATCTGGCACATACAGAACATCACAAGGAGGGACCTGCCAGGGTGGCTTTCCAAGCACCCAGAGCTGGGGGGAGACACAGCAGCCACACACACAGTTTACAGGGAACAACACGCAGGGGCAGAAACATAGATCAGTCCCCACAATATTTCCACTAGCCCTCTGCCCCCTCTCTTCCTGGTCCACCACTCCTGGGCGGTGCTAGTAACAGCACCTTTAGTTAAGGTTGCCTGTTACTTCTCATTCTAAGACCCTGGTTTGGGTTGCTTATAACTTTGTCAAAGTTCAACCATTCAGGCTGAAATCTTCCAGGCTGGGTCTCAGTCTCAGGCTCCCACCGCCGGTAGCTATGCCCCTGGTGGAGTGTGGGGTGTTTTGGGGAGAGCTCTCTCCCAGCACTGGTGCTGCGACTACACAGCCATATGGCAGCGCTTTAACGTTGCTAATGAAGACATACCCTAAGTTACTATCTTTCTTTGAGACGAGAACTGATTTTTTAGACAAAGGAAATGCAGTAGATCTAATCTACCTGGATGTCAGTAAGGCATCTGATACAATTTTACATGAGAAATTATTAGTTAAATTGGAGAAGATGTGGATTAATATGAGAACTGAAAAGTGGATAAGGAAGTGGTTGAAGGGGAGACTACAACGGGTCATACTGAAAGGTGAACTGTCAGGCTGGAGGGAAGTTACTAGTGGAGTTCCTCAGGGTCAGTCTTGGGACCAACCTTATTTAACATTTTTATTACTGACCTTTGCACAAAAAGTGGGAGTGTTCTAATAAAATTTGCAGATGATACGATGTTGGGAGGTATTGCCAATATGGAGGAGGACCGGAATATCATACAAGAAAATCTGGATGACCTCGTAAACTGGAGTAATAGAAATGGGATGATATTTAACAGTGCAAAGTCCTGCATTTAGGGACTAACAATAAGAATTTTTGCTATAATCTGAGGACTCATCAGTTGGAAGTGACAGAGGAGGAGAAAGACCTGGGTGTATTGGTTGATCCCAGGATGACTATGAGCCGTCAATGTGATGCGGCTGTGAAAAGGCAAATGCAGTCCTGGGATGCATCAGTAGAGGTATTTCTAGTAGAGACAGGGAAGTGTTAGTACCATTATACAAGGCACTGATGAGACCTCATCTGGAACACTGTGTGCAGTTCTGGTCTCTCATGTTTAAGAAGGATGAATTCAAACTGGAACAGGTGCAGAGAAGAGCTACTAGGATGATCTGAGGAATGGAAAATCTGCCTTATGAGAGGAGACTCAAAGCGCTTGGCTTGGTTAGCCTAACCAAATGAAGGCTGAGGGGAGATCTGATCGCTCTCTATAAATACATCAGAGGGATAAATACCAGGGAAGGAGAGAAGTTATTTAAATTAAGCGCCAATGTGGACACAAGAACAAATGGCTATAAACTGGCCATCAACAAGTTTAGGTTTGAAACTAGGCAAAGGTTTCTAACCATCAGAGGAGTGAAGTTCTGGAGCAGCCTCCCAAGGAGAGCAATGGGGGCAAAAAACCCTAACTGGCTTCAAGACTGAGCTTGATACATTTATGGAGGAGATGGTATGACAGGACTGCCTACAATGGCATGTGGCCCATCGGTGACTGCCAGTAGCAAAAATCCCCAGTGACTGGAGATGGGACACTAGATGGGGAGGGCTCTGAGTTACTACAGAGCCCTCCCTATGTGCGGCCCCGTTGGCCTGACTGGAGCCAGCCCCCCAAATATAGAAGTCAAACTACACCTATGCTGGTTAATTCCCCTCCCTGTTTAAAGGTGATGGTTGGGTTCAGCTGAAATCAGGTCTTTTGGAGTAAAGAGGGTGACTGGAAAGAGACTGCATCAGTGAGCAGGGGGCAGCAGGCTCTGGCAGGGTTAGAGGCTGTAAACTTGTTCCCCTGCTTTGTGTCTTTCAGGCGGAGGAAACAGGAACCATTCACAGGAAGCGGCTCCACGGTGCAGGGATTTCTCAGCCAGACATGGAGCCGGCCGGCGCTCTGGAGGATGTGTACGTCCTAGTGGAGTACGAGTTTGAGTATGTGGCTAAGGACGGGACGCTCATTTCCATAAAGCCCAACGAGCGGTACGTCCTGTTGAGAAGAACAAACGATCACTGGTGGCATGTTAAAAAAACCAAGGACGCCCGTCCATTCTACATCCCAGCAAAGTACGTGAAGGAACTGCCCCCAGTCACCCGGCCCACCAGTGTGTTTGAGCTTCCTCCAGAAACCCCTGGACAGCTGGTCTCCAGGGACGCCTTGGAGACAATTGTCCTACAGCCAGCCAGGGCTGGCCAGGACCAGCCTTTGGCATACGAGTACAAATTCCTGAGCGCTGCTCAGCAGAAAGAGCAGCACAAAATGGATACCAATGAACCCGACACTGACTTGGGGGCTGGGTCCATCCGGTCAGGGTCTGGAACTCTGGGGCCCGCTTGCAAAGACGCCAGCTTCGAAGGCGAGACCCTGACTCGAGCCGTAGGAGAGGGGAAAGACTCTCCTCCAGTGCTGAGCTCATTTCACAACCCTCACTGCGCAAAGAGGAGCAGCCACTCTCCAGCGCTGCACATCCCCCCCAGCGAGCACATGCGCCCGACGCAGTCCCTGGATGACCTGGCCAGGGCCATCCCCAGCCCCCAATGTAGAGTCAGTCACACAGGGTCACGCAGGGCGGGGACCACAGCGGGCTCTTTGCTTTCCCCGCAGCCTCTCAGTAAGAGCCAATCTGAGAACATTTATGAATCCATCAAGGATCTGGAGAGACAGGAGAAGGCAGGGTCCAGCCGGCCAGCTCAGGTGAGTAGCACAGCTTCCTTCTGGGCCACAAAAGGGAACACAGGTGGGCAGTTAGCGGAGTTAGGGTGATCAGATGTCCCGATTTTCTTATATAGGCTCCTATTACCCCCTCACCCCCGTCCCAATTTTTCACATTTGCTGTCTGGACACCCTAAGCGGAGCAGACTGGGAGTCAGCACTCGTGGGTTCCTAGGCTAACTCAGCCACCTTGGGCAAGTCTCCCCCCCCGCCCCCCCAGTGTCCCCTACATCAGGGGGGGAGGCGGCGTGTGGGGCGAGGAATGTGCTGCTCATTTCATGACTATTAAGCACCTGGAGCGTCTCAGAGAAAAGGCACTGCTGACGAACAAAGTGCTGCCGTGATCTCACCTGTTTTGTGCTCCTGCAGGGCCATGAGGAAACCCTTGGAAGGGCTGGTCTGGGGACTTTAAGGGGCTTTTCTGGCCTTCATTTTTTTTTCAGCCCTGTGTCTGTCTGGTCTGGCTGTTTAAGGCCCAGTCCTGTAGCTTGTCCTATGCAATCAGCGCCCCAGCTGGCGAGGCTGAATAGCTGAGATGGAAGGACACAAGCTCATGTTCTGCCTGCAGAGCTTGTACCGGGGGGGGGGGCGCAGAATATCCTAGTATTTCCCTTCAAAATCTCCAAGGAGTGCTCTGCCATTGCGGGGCGCGACCCAGGCCAGCGAGGGGCTGTGTCAGCCCTGCCCTGCAACCTGGGGCGCCTCACAGAGCTTCGCTGCTGTAGCTCCCACCTGGGCTGCTCACAAACAGCCAAACTGTGCGCAGGTCACACCCCGAGTGTCTGCCTGTAGCCACAGCCCGGGTCAGCCGCTCCGGTCTCGCAGCCTGTCCGCAAACACCAGCCACAGTCTGGCTTCCAGCAGCCTTGGTTACTATTCACAGCGTGACCCCAAGACTCCCTGTCCTGAATTCCCCCCTACCCCCAAAAAGCGTGTTCTGCACTGGCCAGCCCTCTCCTGGATAGTCCAGATATGCTAGGTCTGTTGCGCCTCTAAGGAGATCAGTGTACTGGTCTGCCACCTTCAGCGGCGTTACCCCCACAATTCCCATCACTGGCTTCGCTTTAATTAAAGACTAAAACAAGTTGCTTGTCTTACACAGAGAGAGACTTGAACTGAGTGCAGGTCAGAAATGGTCACAAGAAAAACTAAGATAAACTGCTTCTGAAACTGAGCAAACTCGGCCTGGTTCGAGGTGAAGTCCCTTGCCGCATGTGTCTCTTACCACTGCTGACCCAGCTCTCAGGCCGAGATCTGCTCCCAAAGGCCACGGCTGCTTGATGTGTTGGCTGAGGTGAAAAGAGAGAGATGGGGAGAGAGAGAGCCTGGGGGGCAGGCTGCAGCTGCCCCTCACTTTTACAGTCTCCCTTGGATATGGTTTTTCTCGAGAGTGACCCCGGATAAAGTTCTTTCCAGCTGAGAACAAGGAGGCATGGAGCTGGGAGGCAAGCAGAGCTGTTGTCCCTGCCCCCCTTCCTTGCCAAAGATCGGCCACTGGGCAGGTGATGGCCCATCAGCTCTGATGGCAACTGGCTAGAGGCGTCAGCTTGTGCTTTGTCTTTGAGAAACAGGTTCACCCCTCCCTGGACTCGTCTGGTAAACACACCTCAGTCCTGATTTCATCGCATGTTCCTAACTTTGCATGTAATGTTGCTGCACACATTGCACCGTGGTGCTACTGACCAGCGAGTTCTTAGTTTTCAAATGATGCCTCCCAATTGCGGCGTAGCTAGGAGTGGAAATTGGGGTGGGCCCTGACTTCCACGTGGACGGGCAATGACAGATTGTGCTAGCTCAGCTTCTCCCCCGATGCCCTGTTCCTAGCCCTGGTGCCCCCAGGCAAAGGGCTTCACCGGCTGAGCTGGGCAGACACATGGGGCAGCTCAGGAAATGGCAAGGTAGAGCTGCTGGTGCATAGCTTTCTGAAGGGCGGGCGCAGAGCTCCATCACACACCTCCTTACTCCTGTCTGCGCCTCCTCGCCCCCCAGAGACAGGGCTGCGGCTCCAGGAGGAGGGGACACAGACGGGGTAAGGGGTCTGAGGCTGGTGCCACAGCAGCCAGGGCTGGGAGCAAAGCCCAAAGCGTGTGGCCAGCAACAGAGCCCTAGGCATGGGGCTGGCAGCAGAGCCCTGGGCGTGGGGCCAGCAGCAGAGCCCCAGATGTGTAGCCAGCAACAGAGCCCTGGGCATGGGACTGGCAGCAGAGCCCCGGGCGTGGGGCCAGGAGCGGAGCTAGGTGGCGCTCCCTCCCTGCCCCTGATGGGGTCTGGCCCAGGCCCCAGTCATGCCCCCCTGAATGGTCCTCATTTCACAGCCTGGGACATTCCCAGAGGTTGCTCCGATCTCACAGTCCCAAAACCAAGCAAAGTTGGATAGAAAATAACGAGTTCTGAGTCTTCCTACACAGCAGCATTTCTACTGCCAGCGCCTCACATGCACTAACGCCGAGTGAACGTTGTGGGGAAACCTGAATTTCAGGCCCTGCCTGCCTTTCCAGCGCTGGAATTCGCAGCTGTGTGTGACATGAATACTCTGGCTTTTGCATGTAATGATTGTTTGGGAGGTTGAGACGGCCCTGATCGGGTGTGACCTTTGGACATGTCACTTCCTTGCCCTGTGGCTCAGTTTCCCCATCTGCAGAGGGAGCTTAATGATACTTTCTGGCGCCTTTGCAAAGTGCTTGGTGATCTCTGGGTGGAAGCCTCCCTCGTATCCGAGCTAGAATCCTCATGCTGCCTTGTTTAGTTATCAAATTCTCTCCTTCTCTCTGTGCTCACGTAGCGTCAATGGGCCAGCAGAGGCCGCTGTGACTCCAAGCATTCTGCAGTGGGGTCCCTTGGGCTGCTGCTCCCCCGCTCCTGCCCCGGGAGCCTGGCTGCCTTTTCAGATGCCATCAATTCAGCAAACATGTTCAATTCCAGAAACTGCTGCCGCTACGGGGCAGTTTGAAGCTGCCGTATTTTCTTCTCCAGACTCTTCCTCTCCTCTTAGTTCTTGAGGAAGTGGCTAGTAGCAGCTCCCAGGTCAGGCTTAGAAACCACCCCTGCGGCATCTCCCATGTGAAGCATT